ATGGAAGGTGCTGGGGAACAAGTGACGTGAGTTTCGGCCCCTAGCGGCTTGCTCTGGAACTGCAGGGGCATTAGTTGAAAAATGTTTAAAGGCGGATAACTCAAGAACCGATTGATGGATCGTCGTGATTTTTGGCATGTAGGTAGCTGAAGTGATGCTTGACATAATGATATTACAATCATGCAAATATTAATGTAATTTGCATAATCAATGAGGAAATTCTAGAAATTAGCTGCATTCCATGATAGGGCTATTTAAGCTTGTGACATATGTAATTTAGAACGGCAGAAATACAGGCAGATATAGATTATGCAAATGAAGACTTAATTTGCATAACTAACAAGAAAATGTTATAATTACATAGTGGTAATGTCTGAAATTTCATACTTGGGATATTTGAAAGTTATGTGAAGGTGAACATAATTAAACATAACTTATTCAAATAAGGACCTCATTTGCATAATTTATGAGGACATGCTATAATGGCATGCATCGATAAGATAAGACTGTCTTCTGGTGTAGAATATGATCAACAGATATAATTGATGCAATATGGGATCCTATTTGCACAATCAGGGGGATTCATCTATAATTTCTTAGTCATAAAGGCTAACATCATTTGGCGAAGGTATGAGATCGTGGAACTCTAGTTATAACTAGTATCGTTTCTTCGGCAGTAGAATGAACTGATAAAACTAGGGGAACACTTTTTACATGTAGAGGAACTGGGAGAATACTTTGAACATGACAAAATGAGTAAGTTCATTCATTATAAATGAGAGCAAGTCCGGATCTGAAGCTGAACCACTGGACCTCAACCTGGACTTGAACCCACCCCTACTGTGGAGATATTAGGGAATGATAACTTCACTGCAGAGAAGGACCTGTGAAGACTGAGAGTGAGAGAAAATGCCACAATTTAGCTACTAGTATATATGCAAATATAGATAGGAATTATTGGGTTGAGAAGACGGCTTGTGCATTGCAGAAAGTGTTTCCAAAATGTTGACATTCTGCAATACATTGTATTTAATTATTGGAGAACACTGAAAAAAAATATTTTGTCTCCTGGATTAGAATCACACCGACAGACATACTTTGGAGAAACAAAGAACACTTACGTAGTAAGCGCTTTTTAAGTATACATTAAGAGCAATCATATACTCATACATATATGTATACAAACTATTTCTTACTTATCACTTTGAAATGTTCAATTTTCAAACTATTTGTTACTTATCATATAAGGCTATATATATTGAATATGGGCATACAATGTAGTTGATATCATTCAGCCAAGTTTTGAAGATGAACATCATCAGTAAAGTGCCTGGGGAATTTCCACATTTTTTAAAGCAATGTACTCACTTTGCCTCCTAAGAAGTACCAAATGGCCACATCAAAGGCAATCTGGACGGCAGTGTTGATAATTTCCAGCCCTGTGACAGGTTTTGGTCGCAGGAAGAGTGGACGGAAGGCATAGAAGAAGGGCTGGAGGAGGAGCCAGATGCACTTGGTGAAGGTGGTGTGGAAGAGAACTCCCTCCATCTTTGATGGCAGGTCCATGTCCATTTCTTCATTTCCCTGGAACACCATGGAAGGTATCAGAGTACTATCTTGTTATGTTTACCGATTCAGAAGGAAAACAAATTGTTTTTGCTCAGTTTCTTCCTCTTCTTCTTCTCCAAACAGTGACCCCTGACCTGACCAATGACATGATTTGTTGACGTCTGTCACCATGGTGACTGGTGATTTGTTGACGTCTGTCACCATGGTGACTGGTGGTTGGTTACATAATGTTGCAATTTTATGGTCTGCTCTGCTCCTGTCACCATATACTAGTAGTACATGTATGTGTTTGGGTAAGAATTAACAGAGCAGACCATGTCCGAAGGTAAACATTATGCTTTTGCTTTGCAAATGTTACTTCTCTAGTTTGTAAGTGTAATACTATTGGTGTTACCAATAGAACTAGCCATCTGTATCTGTATCTGTATCTGTATCTGTATAGCCGGTATAACCGCCTTTCGGCGTAACACACCAGCTTCGCAGGCACGCGGCGCGGCGGCAGCTGGCTATATTACACCGATCGACTTGTTACACCTAACCCTTGAACTTCTAGCTCTAGACATTGTTTAAAGCTATCTATTGACAGTGCCCCTACTGTACTTGGTGACAGTGAGTTCCACTCTGCGATAGTTCTAGGAAAGAATGAATTCTTGAACACCTCAATCCTTGGTTGATAACTCTGATACTTGAATGCGTGGCTATTTCTTGTTCTCTTCTGAGCT